CGTTCTTCCCTTTGACTGGTAAGAAATGTGGGACTAGCTCCATACAGCCAGGCCAGCAGGTGGGGAATTTTGAAAGTCTTTAGGAAAATGTATTCTTTTTCATAATTCTAAGCGAGGAAGTAGAGTTTAAGAACAAAGCAGTCAAAAAGCTGAAGCAGGTAAAGCGTGGTGTAGAAGGCAGCAATCCCTCCCACCAGCTGCAACCCAAAGAAGCAAAGGTTCTTATGCAGGAGTTGTGTTTCTGGCCTGGGGTAGGGGACAAAGACCCCTTTACAGGAGGAAGTGTAGGAGAAAGAAGAGGAATTATGTTGCTAAGAAAGGGGTAGGACAGAAAGGGGAAGGTGGGCAATGGCTCGATTAATTTGGTAGTCTGGGATGCACTGTTATGGGTAAAGAGAAATGGAGCACTGTGAAAAGTGGCAGGTAGAACAAACCTGCCTCAAAAGACGAGGAGAGAAAAGTAAGAGTGTTTTTAAACCTACATTTGTAAGTCTTATCTGTAAGAAATCTTTTTCTAAATGGTTGTCACTTGATCCTACATGAAAGATGCTGCATCTCGGAGTGTGAAATGTCTGCCTCCAGTATTTGTAATTAAAACCTTTCTGACGCCTAATTTAGATACACTGGAAGTCAAATGGGGACAAGCTGTTTTCCTGGAAATAGATAAGGACTTGAGCTGATGACCTCTTAAGTTAGAGCCAAGACTTCATTATGTCATGGCAAAAACGAAAGGAATGGAGGTGCACATGTACTACTCGTGGGATAGTCAGCTCGGAGCCTGTGCTCTGAGACACTGTTACTGCCAGTGCTGCATCTTGCCACAGAACTGGTGATGGTCTTTTGGCTCTCTCCACTGGCCACCCAGTGAGCAGCACACAATGCTGGCTGACAGAGGACATTTAACAGAGGCTCGAGAAGTGAGAACCTCAATCTGTATGAGGATGTGCCGTAACTGAAATGGGAAGGGAACTTAACCCGACTCGAAACAGTGAGGATTTTGTTAACTTTTCCATGTATGCCTTTGTACTCCTCACTTTTTTAAATTTAGCTGCTACCTAGGAGTACAACAGCCTTCTTGTCACAGCCAGGTAGTGATTTCAGTGTATCTGCTTAAGCACAGCTCTTCAGCATTGCTTTGTGTGCATGCGGTGCCTCTGAGTTCTTCTGAGATCCGGTTTCCTTCAGAGCTGGTGTGTAATCTCAGTAGCAAAGCCGTGCCTTTTACAAGAGGCAGCCTCTCCTCGGGGATTTCTTCATCCAAATGTCAGAGGGTTGAGTCCCATTTGTAACTGAAAGTCTCAGAGCATTCTCTAGTGTGGAAGTTTGCTCTTCAATGTGCTGCTTTCAATGAGATATCAGGAATGAATTCTTCACTCCGGGGGTGGTGAGCCACTGGTGGTTGCTCAGATAAGTTGTGGGTGGCCCCATTCCTGGAATGTTCAAGGCCAGGTTGGATGGGGCTTTGAGCAAGGTTGGTGTAGCAGGGGAGTTGGAACTACATCATCTTTAAGGTCCCTTCCAACCCAAACCATTCTATGATTCTATGAATTAATTAGTATGTTTTTACTGGTGGTGGTGGAGGATGTGATCTTAGGATGAAGGAGCTTTGGTCAGGTTTGTAACATCTGAAATGGAGAGAAGAACACTAGAGTATTGGAAAAGTCAGTATCTAGCTGTGCTCCCAGACTTTTTCAATCCCATTGAAAAACCTGTTATTTTGTACCTGTGTGAAAGCAGGACTCACTTTTACATCTGAAGCTGGTGGCTCATGTAGGAGAATCCAGTCTTAACTCATCCTTGGCAAGTAGTAACTTTTCTAGATGTGGGAATGGAATGAAACTCATGTGAAGTGAGCATGCTTTATACAGAAGGCATTGAGACATAAACAGTCAAGGTATCACTGATTTTACAGATACATTTTTACTTTTCCTGTAACTACTGTTGTAAGTTATAGGATGAAAAGGTTGATGTTGTGTAATCCACAGGGAAAAAAAAAGTCTTAACTGAATTGCAACTCAGAACAAAGATCTGAGTATCAAAATTTTGGGTAGTGACAAGAAAAGTTGAAAGGGAAATCCTGTCCTGGAGACTGCTGTTTTTGTTAACTCTCTCCTGGACATCTTGCTTAGAGAAGGGTTCTGGGCCCCGACACAACTCGTCTCAGTAAGGCGTGTTGAAAGAAAGGCTGAGCTCTTGGGATCCTCTGCTGCTTGATTTCATCAGTTTTAGGGCTTTGGAGAATTACATCTGAGGTGATGAAGGATGAGTGAGCCAGTGGCAGTCAGGAGTTGATGAGGAAACAAAGAGGTGCCCGAAGCCCCAGTTCTCACTCGCCCTCACACGTGCAGCAGGGATCTCGGTTGCATGTGAAGATTGTCACTGCCAGAACAAGGTAAGTGCAATTCTGCCTCGTAGAGACAGTTCAAACAGCAGGTGTTAAGCTTATTAAGTGAAGAAGATCCAAGTGACACTATCTACTTGTGATCTAATTGTTCTCCAAGAGAGATAGTGTTTTAATAAGCTTGCAACAGCTTCTGCCTTTCATCAAATTAAACAACTGGGTCATTTCTTCCTTCATCTCACTTGAGGGTGAGGGAAAAGTGTCACTGATAAAGCTAATGCAGCTTTTATTCAAGATCAGAGCAAGGGATCTGTTGAGACTTTTTTCAGCCCTGGCGTGCTTATAAGGCAGACAGCCACGAGAAGAGCTTTGAAGACATTTTTACTGTAAGAGTCATACTGCTACATAGGAAAAACAAATCAAAAAACCTTTCTGCTTCTTCCCATGAAAAACGTTCAGTATATTGATATTTATAGCTGGCAAAAGCATTTCAGTGCTGCAGGCCTGCCTCTTGCTGCATAAAACAAAGCAAGAGCAGTATGTCATTTAAGTCTTTCAAAACAGACTTCTCTGCAAAATAATTTTCATGGCAAGTACTGGAATAAAAGGGTGAAGATGTCTGGGAAGTTACCAGTTAATTTCTGTGGCTTGTCTACCTTTTATTGAAATTCAGCAGAAAGGGTTCACTGTTGTGCTTGTAGCAGGGAGGTGTGATTTTCTGAGTATGACAATATTAAGAATTGCCTGGAGATGGGGAGAGTCCCCAGCCTTTTCAATTATTCCACCCTCCCCTCGCCTTCAAAATTACCCTTTAAGGAGATGAAGCAGTGAACATCTACTGTCACGTGGCCAGGGTGAAAGAAGAATCCCAGCCCCTTCCACTTCAGGAGAGGTCTGCAGTGATGGCAGCATCATATAAATCAGACTGTTCCTCCACAGTTTGGTTTCTTTTGTGGGAGAGGCAGCACTGCAAGCAAGGGTCTGAGTTAAAATGCCATAAGAATCATCCAGATACCAAATACCACACTGTGAGAGTGACAGTGGGGATTTTGCAGCTGTGACAGTTCAGCTCCTGTGGTAAACAAGGCCTTCCATAATCAGTGCTGTGGCTCTGTGCCCTGGCAGTGGTGGAGCCGCCACACTGATCGACACCTCGACTGGCCTTAGGAAAATGGAGCTGCTTATACAGGAGTGAAATGAAATTAAGGGCTTTTTTGGTGTTTGGTGGGTTTTTTGGGTTGTTGTTTTTTTGTTTGTTTGGGTTTTTTGTTTGTTTTTTTTTGTTATGGTTTAGTTTGTTTTTAAATACAGATCTGAGTGCAAGTATTACCCTTGCTCTCAAGTCAGGGCTTTCTACCACGAGTGCAGTTTCTTCTAGAAACTGCCAAAAGAGTCTGGATGGAAACTCCAGCTTTCTGGTGTGACTTTTCGTGGTAGATGAGCAAGGATTTGACCTATTAAAGGTATCATCTTGTATGTCTGCATTGTGGTGTTGCTTTCAGAAGTGCTTAGCTACAGATGAGTACATACCTCCGTTAATGGGCACTTGTATTCTTTCTCCTCCTTGCAAGATCATTTGAGGGAAGGTCGTAAGAGAAGATAATCCTAAAGGAGAAGGATTGCATCTCACCCCCTCAGAGAGCAATTGAGGGCAGCCAGCACCAGGAAAAGGAAGCTGTCACAGTCTAGTTGGTGTGAAGTGCTCATGGCAGGGATGCTCCAAGGTCTGCCTTCCTGTGGGGCATTAGGAGCATTGCATCTCTGGCTCAAAATCGCCCCCAAAAGAGCCACCCCTTGTGGCTTCCAGGGACACAATTTGCTCTTTCTGAAGTTCCAGCGGAAGGAGGTGGTGGCGTGTCCCATCTGCCTGGTAAGAGTATTCACCAAGGACATTATCCCCTTGGTTGTAAAATCCTTTAATTCTGGGGAAATTCAAATCCACATAAACCCCAGGCTGGTTAGAGGGCCCTCTGCATGGAAGCAGATCACTGCCCTCATCCTTCAAGGGCCAGGAACACGTGCAGTGTGTGTTACAGCCCTGCAACAGCACCGCACTTGTTTGCCTGACAAGGGAGTGTGTCTGTTGTAGGAATTTGGGACTTCCAGTTGCCGGACTCTCTACTTCACTTATCAGCAATGCAAGTACAGTAATTTATGGGCTGTGTAAAGCACATAGCTGTGGCACTTCTTGCTCTTCAATTTAGGTTTTAAAATAAGGTGACAAATTGAGCTGCCTGCTGTGGGGAGCCAGCCCTGCCAGGCATCTGAGCAGCTCTCAGGGAGGGATATTTGCCCTCTGCTTTGCAGGACTGGCCAGGTTTGTAGCTCCACACAACTGCTGGAAATGGTAATATTTACAGTAATACTTACTGTAGGCTTTATCTCTACCTGGGGGAGAGAGCAGCTTAACAGTGAAAGGTAACTCCCCTCCCTACAGATTTGCTGTGGAATTTGGGCATTTCAGTTTGGAGAAACAGCACATGCTGTGAAGGCAAAGCAGCTCTGCTACGCTGTGAGATCAGGACTACAGGGTGGGGGAAAAGGTCTGGAATGGGAGGCATCACCACTGACTTGAAGCTCCAACTACTTGAGACCGGTCACTTACTTGGGAACAGGAACCTTGGACAGGGACATGAGAAAGACAGCAGCAGAGACATTCCTTTTTTTCCAAAGACTTTTATTAATAAACACATGAAACATTTAAGAGTTACTATGTACCCTACTTTACATGGAAGTACTGCTTTATTTGCCCTGACTCATCTTTCTCGACTATCTAAATGTCAGCCCAACCCCAACTGCTGTCTCTGTTCCCTTCTCTCTCCCTATGGCATTTTCTGGCATAGTGGCATATTTACAATCCATATATGCAATTCCTATGTCATACCAATGAGCATCACATGACTTACTATACTAACACAGCTCTGTTGTAGCCCAGGTGCTTGACCAGAGTTCCCCTGGGCCACTGCATGATTTCAAACCAACTTTTGTCAATAAATAAATTTTATCTTGTACCAGGTTCCAGTGTAGCTTTAGATTTCTGAAGATAAATAAAATCTTTCAACATTAAGATTGGCCCTTTACTGAAACAAGATTGACAAGACTACAAATTTAAACCATTTAGAAAAGTAATACTTGAAGCAGAGGAAGAAATACTCCCTGGTTAGCTGTGCCCTCCAGAGGGAAGCACAGAAGAGACAAAGGTTCCAGTGCACTTACCTACAGGCTGTATGTGTGTAACAGACACATGCACATTGTTCTGGAAAAGTGAGGGTATTACTCCAGGTTATAGTTAGCCTCTATTTCCTCACCTGCTCTTACTGGAGGGGCCCTTCCTCACACTGCACCACTACCCGTTCACTTCCAAATGAATTCATCACTTCAGGTCACGTGAAAAAGAGAAGACCACACCAGTATGAGCTTAGATTTCTTCTTGTCTAATCTGCATTAAACTTCCTTCGTATTGCAACAGAAAAAGATTTAAGAGAATCTCACTGGGCAGTTGGAACCTCGTTCCCTTTGGTACTTAAAAAAGCTTAACACGAAATAAATAAAATTAGCATGCTGTCAGGGCAAGTTGTTTTACAAACACAAGTGATTTAAGTACTAAGGCCTCCACATTCATTAGAGGATTAAATCCTTAAACAGGGGGCTTAGTGAAAGGATAAAGCTCATTTGCCTTCTGGTTTTCAAACCCTGACATGGCAAGAAGACCACGATGAGAACACTGGCTTCTTTCTTCCTCCCTCAAAGGCTCCACATTAATGAGGGCTGAAGGACATGCATAACACCAAACAAGTGCCCGAAATAATGTTTAGTCAACAACAGTGTTTCCTCATCTTCCAATAGCTTCCAGCTTCAAAAGTCTTCTCTAAAATAAAACAGTGGTGAGTTCAGTCACTGCAATACCTAGTGGCATCCCAACACATTACAGCAGCCTGTCAGGGTCTTGATTAAAACTAAAGTCACACACCAGGGACAGGTGATCCGAGGGGTAATTGAACGATGGCAGCCTGTTGGGCCCAATTTGCTCTTCAGTCAGCAAGCCCAGGGCTGAGTTCACATTCAAGGCGTGCTGGGAATACCAGATATAATCCAGCGTGTGCCGGCACTCTCCTGAGGGCCGGATCTTCCAGGTGGTGTACGGGGGCTCCGACTGCCCGTCGGGGCTCAGCAGCTTGTACGCGCTGTTCAGATTGAGGCTGGAGTTGGAGAATTCCCTGTAGACCTCCTCGGTCGGCTCCGCGTTGAAGTCCCCGCAGACGATCAGGGGGATCTTTGCCCCTTGGGTGATGTTCTTCAGGTTCTGGAGGAGGTCACAGCCCTGCGCGGACCGAAACCTCTCCCAGCCGGTGCGGGCCTTGAGGTGGGTGACGGCGATGCAGAAGAGCCGCCCCGTCTCGTGGCACTTCAGCGTCTGCGCTATGGCCACCTGGTTGGTCTTCAGCTTCATGGCCGTCAGGCGGATGTTGGCGCTGTTGATGAGCTCGAAGCGGTCCTTGAGGAAGAACAAGGCGCAGCCATCCGGCCCGTTGTTCCGCTCCACATCCAGGCACGGCGACCACGGCTTCGGGAAGAAGGTGCACTGGTAGCCCAGCCGGCTGAGGAGCGGCTCAAACGTGTCAAAGTAGTGGTCGACTTCCTGCAGGCACAAGATGTCGGGCTTATACGCCAGGATTTCCTCCAGGATGAGGCACTTCCTCTCCTCCCATTTCAGAGCTTCCATGGGGCACTGAATGAAGTTGTCTTTGCCTTCCCCGAGAGCTGAAATTAGCAGGGATGGGGAGAGAAAAAAGGAAGTTACTGATGGCTCCAGCAGGCTGTCCTCCAGGTTTGGCAGAGGCCAGAGGTACATCAGTTTACAATGCAGGTCATGGGCTTTTTAGCAATAGCTGGTGACTTTAGGAGTGCCAGGTTTGCCAGTGGATGTGAGAACCCCTTCTCAAACCACTGGAGTCACTCCAAAAAAATTAAGCTCCCTTTACAGATACAAGACTTCCTCTCCCTTTTCCCCCTATGCTGTGGCAAGTACTTTCACATGTGGCTGCTGCAGCTTAAGCCTAAAAATAAAATGCAATGGGATAGGAGTGACTTAACTGCAGATTGTTAAAGCAATCCCTAGGGGGGGACTTCCCATCCCAAAAGATTTTAAGGTGAGACTGTTGCATGTCAATTTACAGTCTTGATTTGAAAATACCAAAAATTATTATAACCAAAAGGTAAAATTATTTTGAAGCATTAAGAATTCCCATAGCAGATCTAAATTCCTGGATAATTCACCAATAAACTAATAAGAAAGCTTTAGACGAGGTTTACAAAGAATAAAATTTAGGGAAGGATGAGTCTTTTCTGGGGGTCAACAACTACCTAAAAACTGATGGGTCTTTTTGGATACACTGTGTTCAGCTAGGACAGGAATCCAGGACTACCTTTGGCATCACAGTTGTAAGGAGAGACCCTTTTTCCTTTCCAGGACAGAAGGAAAGCCCCTATTTTAAGTGCTCGAAATATTCCCCCTGGCCCTCAGCCAGTTGTACCTCATGTGGTTCACCTCTCCCTCTGCTCTGCCAGGGAGCTGCACTTGGTCTCAAGGTCATACCTTGGGCAAGGATGTTCCACTGCATGACCCGGATGGGGCGGTGGTTGCTGGCAGCGTTTTTCTTCAGGTTCACAAAGTTCCTCTGGAACCGGGGCGGCCGTTTCTGTAGGACAATCTGACATTCCTCCAGCAAATCCTTGGGGTCTATAGGATCCAGCCGTGCTGGGTCTAGCTGCTCCAGGCAGTCCTGGTGCTGGGACACGGCACCGCTGCTCAGCGTCTTGGCAAGCACGCTGTAGAGCCGGCTGGTGCTGTTTCCCATGGAACACACTGGAAAGGAAAAACTGCTGTTAAGAGATGTCCACCTTGACTCTTTTCATCACTTGGCTGCCTTGTTACAGTGCCAGGAATTTGTGGTTTGTGCAGGAGCCTGTTCCTGAAGCTGAGACAAAATACGAAGGATGCAGAGGCAGGGTTAGTCCTGTCCAGTCTCATCATGTTCTGCCTGCCATCAGGGGCTGCTCACCTCTGCAGCGTGCAAACAGCCTGGCTTAGAACATCAGGCTGGTCTTTCTAGGGAAGAAAGGAGTCTTTCGTCCATAATAGTAGGGCTAAGATTAACTCTGCATGCATTGTAGGAAACAGAATAGAGCATACTTTTCCCTTGCTCAGAGAGGAGAGAGCCCAGAAGGTAGACAAATGCTGCCTGTTCCTCATTTTGTGTGCAGCATTTGCCTGTGATGGAGATGACAGACACACTGTTTGACCTGGTACCTTGTCCTGATTTGGGATGCCTACAGGCTGCGGGTTCCTACCTGCAGAGCAGCAAGCAGGGTGACTCATTCCCTTGGGTTAATATTTAATAGGGATCTCTGATCACAGCTTTATCTGCTTTTGCAGCAACATTTTCATGAGTGTGAAGCAGCCAGATGCTTCTGTTGGCTTAGGCCTTAGGATGTGCAATGGAGAGGGCAGTCTCTCCAGCTCCTGCACACAAGCCGCTGTCCCCAGCTCTCCCACTAAGGCAGTCAGCCCTCACCCAGCCCCATGTCTCCTGCAGGGAGGTCCCCCCATCCCAGGTGAGGTCACAGCTGCCATGGGGAGGGTGCATGTGTGTCCCCACTCAGTTCTGCCCTTTGGCTCACACACAGGAGGTGACTGCAGCCCTCTTCCCTTATTAGGGTCAAGGAGCAGAGCCACCCATTCCTTTCAGTCAGCGGCCCTCATGCCTGTTGTGCTGTGAAATACCTCCTTCTCCCATTTCCCAAGAGCACAAGCAGTACCACTGCACAGCCACAAACACTTCAAGGCTTTGCTTAGTGCACACACACGGGACAGCATCAAGGGCTGGCCTTCGGGGGAGCTGTGGGGGAGTTTGGACAGTTTGTGATGTTCCTACACAGTGCACGCCCCAAGAGCTCTCCAACCCTTTCTCAGAAAATGGCAAAACACGTAGGGAGCTCTTGGAAAGAGGCTGTGTTTGCACTTTTCCATGCTCAGCACTCTGTCCAAGTGTGCCAGGACACTTTGCTTCCCTTCAAACACGGGCAGGAAGGGCAGTGTTTGCATCACAGCAACTTGCACAAGAGGCAGCACTGACCGAGTTTTGTTGTTGTCTCAACTTATTTACTCTGGATGCATTTTGCAAAGGGAATCTTGGGCAAAAGAACTTTGGTGTTGCATTGCTGTTGGCCCACAGTGGTTTTTAAGCAAGTTTAGTTGTATTGCTGAGTTACTTAAAAAAGGAATAGGAAGGGAATGTCACCTCATGCTCATATCTTGCAGCAGATTTAGGGGGCTACTCCACACACACATTCAGACTGAACTACAGCACTACCAGCTGAAAGAGCTGGTGACAGATATACAGTAATGACAGGCTACAGGGGCAGGCAGGAAGATGGAATCCCTAACAGTTCAACAAACACACTCAGAAGGAGTAAAAGCAACACTGCAGTAGAAGCCTCCTGTCTTTGTATTTAGCAAAATGAATACTTTCAAAGACACTAAAAACCACTTAACATGTGTTTTGTAAGCCCATGGAACAGTGCATCTTAACAGTTCTAAAGAAGTTGTAAATTGGGACCTTAGATTGGATGGAGGACACTTCTCCCCATCTCCATCCTTTTAAAGTTTAAAGTACCAGGAGTTCCTCAACTGAGATGTGAGTTTGAATTTGTTCATAAGCATGAATGTCTTCCTAGGGAAACTGTGTGTAAAGTGTTTCAGTTTCTGCAGTCTTTCTCAGCTTAGAATTCTTATCAGAAAGGAAAGTACTGCTGAAAGTAGAAGAAATGCCATTTAATAGTGAGGGAAACATGAAATCCCTAAGCACAGGACCCTGACATGGCTGTGAGGAGTGGGGATCAGGAACCAAAGCATGCTCTGTGCTGGTTACAGAAGGGTCCAGCTTACACACTACCAGGGCTGCCAGGCAGCCACGCAGAAAACCAAGGAAATCAACAGAGCTTTTAATAGAAGCTGCACAGGGAGCCACTCACCTATTTTTAGGTAGGTACAAGCCATAGCTAAGTGCTGCAACTGGAGATAAGTGCACGGTGTTTTCTGCTACATCAGGGATGCCGTCAGCAGCCGGGTGCAGCCACGAGCCCTACCCCCCAAACATCCTTCTGTACAGCCCCTGCCATGCCAGGGATGAACATGACCAACATAGGGCTTTTCCAAAGGAATAAGCAAGAGCTTAGGCTGCTTGTGGCTCGACCTGAATCAGAGGGATGATGTTGAAAGAGACAAGGCAGGTGTGATGCAGCTGGAGCCAAAGGTCTACAGGCAAAGCCCTGAGCAGCTTACATCTGTTACAGCAGGACGCAGGCCAAGTTCAGCCACCCACCTGCCAAGCTGCAAACAAAGCCAGAGTACTGTCTAAATCTCATCATCCCTGGGATCATGGGGTATCCAGCTCTTTATTGGGGCATAAGACACAGCTTAACCTGCTCTGGATGTGCTATGGCCCAGCTGCACAGATCTGACGGTTTTTAAAGTCAGTCATGTGTCAGGCAGGAAAAAAGAGCTTTGGTCTTTTTTTGAGGGCCCAGGAAAGATTGGGTGAAAGAAGGTCTGGACTGTAAATCAAACACTTTCAGTCCTAGTATAGGTGGATTGAGAGTTCTTGGCTGAAAGGAGGCTCCTGGGGGAAGACTTCAGCTTAAGATGACTGCTGATCTGCACAGGTTCTTTGTCCTCAGCGTGCTGAAATCATCACAACATGGTTTGAGCAGTTCTGCACAACAGGAGCCAGAGCAGCAACCTGAATGTGGAAACTCCAAACACAAAAATCCATTCTGTTATTTCTGCAACAGTGAACATGTCCACAGCAGCCAGGCAAGTACAAGGTCACCATTCCAAAACCTTACAGTCCAAGTTAAGTGACCTGTAACTTGGTGGGATAATGTGTGCTGTGACATTGTGGTGCTGGTGTGTGCAGAGGAACAAGCAGACTCCTGAGCTCGAACTACAGCAGTGGGAAGTGAACATGGAAGTGATTCTCTTGGTGTGATGTAATAGGTAACACCAGCTCAGCAACTACTCTTAAAGGTGCTTAAAATCAAAAGGCACCTTCCTCTCTCTCAGCAAAGGTGGTACCTCAGCACAATAAGGGCAAAGGAAGAATTCAAACTGCTCATTAAACCTAAGAACAGGGTGTAAGCATCGTCCAGCACAGAAGAGATGAACTTCTAGGAACTCAGGCAATGAGACACCCGAGACTTTTATTTTACTGACTTTGCTTCAAAGATGAGGGTTGCAGAGGGGTATTGAAGCCAGGGCCCTGACCTTCTTCGTAAAGTGAACAGCATTCTCACTTCCCTTCGTGTCCTACCTCCCAGCACTGCTTTTGGCCAAAAGCCCCAACCCATTTACCACCTGGATTTCACTGCCAGGTGAACGGTTCCACCATACCTGCACAGCCTGGCCTGTAGCTGAATCAGCCTCCACAGCCAAGGAGGCCAGCAGCAGCCAGAGGTGCCCTCCCTGCAACCCCAATTCTAGGGAAAACTTGACAGGTGCCATCCCCATGTGACAAATCCTATGCTACTGAGCATCATACTACACCTACAGCCTTGTTTGGGACAGCGATGAGAGCTCATCACAGCAAGGGAGGTGCTGCCTGTTTGTCAACAGGCAACACCAGAAAGAAGAGGGAACCTCAAATCCTGCTTCCAGTAATATACAGAACCAGTGCTTGGCACAAGCTCTGGAAACCTTTTTCCTCATGAGTGCTTTAATCATGAGCTCGATCCTGCCAGCTCTCAGGCACATATGCTCCTCTTCCCAGTAGTGCCATGAAGCTTCAATCCTGCCATATGGTATCCTGGCCTGGTTTCAACAGGAGGAATAGGAGCAACCTGCCCCACCCTGGTTTTTATACCTCCCCTGTAACAGCAGGGAATGAACACACTTCACCCCAACCCTAGCTGAGGACAGTAGGAAAAAGTGGATCTCCAGCACACCAGGCATATTGCAAATACATTAGCCAGAAAAGCTGCAGCTACTCCATTCCCTGGAAGTGTTCAAGAGCAGGTTGGATGGGGCTTTAAGCAATCTGGTCTAGTGAGAGGTGTCCCTGCCCACGGCAGCGGGGCTGGAACGAGATGACCTTTAAGGTCCCTCCCAACAGACACGCTCGTCAACACGCATGGCTTAGGGCTGAATCCGAACCGCAGGGCTCCAGCAGGTGCGTCACCGCCCCGCTCCAGTCTGGCCACGGGTCAGCGAGCAGAGAGGAGGGAGTGGGGTGCATGCCAAGGTGTTGTCCTCACGGGCACCCAAGGACGTGTGGGCACTTTCCAAGTCTCATTCGGGGAAGGAGGAACAGGGCGCAATTACTTAACGGTGCAGGCAAGCAGGAACCTGATGGGCCGGCATCGCTGCTGCTGCTGCCCGCAGGAAAGTAACCCGGGCTCTTCCCACACACTGCCTCCAGTAAAAAAAACAAACCACTGTGAGTCAAGCTCATTGTAGCTACACAGAGTGCAACGCCGGGAGAGAACACCTCAGCTACTCGAGAGCGGTGTAAGGACACTGCCGCCCTGGGTGACCGGGCAGGTTACTCCAGCTGTACCCGGGTTTACTCCCAGGGTGCCCTGTCACCCAGCTGGGTGACACCGAGCCACAACCCCCTGCAGCACCGGCGCGATGCCTGGCACCGCCTGTCGCGACTCTGCGGGATGTCGCCCATTCACACCGAGCGAGCGAGCGCCGCGGCCTTTGCCTTAGAGCCGCAGGGCCGGCCCGACGCCCAGAGAGGCGGCTGGCGAAGGCACCAGGGCCGGGGCTGCCGCGGGCAGGAGAGCCCAGGCGCCCTTGTCCCAACAGTGAGGCCCCGCGCGGTTCCCGCACCCGCTCCGCGGGGCAGCCCCGCACCTCCCCGCCCGGTACCCACCTGTGCGGGGCGGCGCCCCCGGGGCGGGCGGGCCGCCCGCTGTTGCCCGCGGGGCAGCGGGGCCGAGGGGCGGCGGCGGGGCGCGGGGCCGCGGCGGCAGCGGCAGGCGGGAGGCCGAGGCGGCGGGGGCGCAGCAGAGGGCGGGCAGCGCCGAGCAGAGGCAGCGTGCGGGGCTCTGGAACATGCTCCTGGCGGGACGGGGCGCGACCGTCAGCGATCGGACGGGAGCCAAGGAGCAGCAGCTCCCGCGCCCGCCCGGCGCCCGCGCTTATAGAGGCGGCGGCGCGCGGCGCGGCCGGCACATCCGGCACATACCACCCGCGCCCGGCGGGGGGGTGGGGACACACAGCACAAACACGCACCACCGGCGCCGCCGCCCGCACCGAGCCCGCCCGCGCACAGCGGCGGGGCGGCGCTTCTAGCCGCCATCCCACACCCCACACCTCCCGCTGCCGCTGCGGGCGCTGCGCAGGCAGGGCGCGTCCCGCCGCATCCCCCCCCCTCGATGGCCACGGAGTGGTGTGGCCCGGCGGAGGTTTGCACGTCAGCGAGGGGCGCGCGCCCCTCAGGGGCGTCAGGGCGGCCCCGCCCCCCCCGGCCGGGGGCGTCACACGGGGGGAGACGGAGCTTGGTGGCTCTTCGTGCTTCGCTCCCTCTGTGTCTCCCTCTCATTTCCTACAGCTTTGGGTCTGGTGCCTTGTCTACAACTCCCGCGGGAGGGGGAAGAGGAGGGGCATGCACTGATCTCTTCTCTGTGGTGACCAGGGACAGGACCCGAGGAATGGGCTGGAGTCGTGTCGGAGAGGTTTAGGCTGGATATCAGGAAAAGGTTCTTCACCCTGACGGTGGTTGGGCACTGGAACAGGCTCCCCAGGGCAGTGGTCAAAGCACCAAGCCTGACAGAGTTCAAGTGTGTGAACGATGCTCTCGGGCACACGGTGTGAATCTTGGGGATGGTCCTGTGCAGGGCCAGGAGTTAGACTCGATGATCCTTGTGGATCCCTTCCAACTCAGCATATTCTGTAATTCTGTTATTCTTGTGCCATTTTGTTGCTTTGAACCCTCTTGGCTCTTGACTGATCTCACCCTGATTTCATCCCCCTAGGTTTATGCTAATTCTGTCATTTCTCATGTGTAATTTTATCCATCTGTCTTTGTTCCTCATTTCTTTTTATTTCAATTATCAAAGCAGGGATGGTGGTAGTCTCACAAGCCCTCTACTGACAGTGTTGTTCTCTCTATGCTGCTTTTCTATTCAAAAAGAAAGTAAGTTGGGACGTGTGTAGAGCAGCTGCAGTTTCAAAGGCAGGTCTTAGATCTTGGTGATTAAACTTCCACCTGGCTCTGGGTAGGCTCATCTAGCCCTCCCTAAGCAAAATGCTCTAATGATTAAATGATTTTAAGTGAAGGAAAAAAACAAGAAAGATAGTTAAACACTGGATAGGTACTTAGTACCCTGCTAACTTCTTCAGTTTTGTTTTCTGTGAAATGAAGCGGCCGTGCTGCCTGCGCTCAGAAGGGAACGCTGAGAGCACAGGAGAGGCAGCTGGAGAGCCTTGAAGGGAAAGGCTGGAGCTTGGGTTTCTCTGCTTTCAGACACACGGACCACTCCTTGAAGATCTCTGTGCTCTGATTCATATCCTCTCTGCTTTAAATATGCATGGAAGAGACAGAGGCTTGATTGCCATGCAAGACTGGGAGCCCTGGTTCCTTGCTAACCAGACTCTGCACCTGACTGGGCTTGTCTGCTCTCAAGTCTGGACACCCTTATCAGAAGGGCAAACTTGTGATTAAGAGTTTATTTCCATGCTTCTTGTGTAAGATCATCTGTAACCAGCTTTTCCCTCCCTTTTTTAGAAGACGAGACCCTTCTAGAAGGAAAGAGTGGTTGGTGATTCATGAGCTAGTCTAATGGCCCTGCCATTTCTGGTGGGATTTGGCAAAGAAAATACCTCCCGGCAGTGGTCCAAGGAATAGGCAGCCTGGGTTTTGTTGCATTATCTGTCACACTGTCACTGACAGATTAGAGGCTTGGTGGCAGGGAAGCTGATGGCTTTGTGGGCCCATCTCTGAGCTCCAAGTCTTCAGCTCCTGTCACATTTTCTGGCATTCAGGTGCCTCTTAGCCTGATGGCTCTTCATTCTGCTCTCCTGCCCCATGGGAAAACCCTTGGGTTTTGCCCAGGGCTGGCTGCTCGTCCTCCTCACCTCCAGTTCCAGCAGATTTCCCGGAGCTGCTTGTTGCCCAGAGAGCTCAGCAGTCCCTAAGTAGCTAATGACTGGTGGTACAATATGTTTGTTATTCATTTCATTTCTCTGATGACTCAAGTAGCTGGGTTGAGGCCAAACCACCTCCTCGTGCAATCTCCAAGGAGGAAAGACAGAAGATTTCCTTCTTCCCACTGTACTGAATGTGCTTTTCCCTGCTCTTTTGAGTGCTGGCTTTCTTTAGCCGAGTGTGACCAAGCCAGTGTGACAGTAACAAAGGCGGGTGTGAAAGAAACAAAAGTTACTGATGATGCACAGGGCTGTTTTCTGGGCATACTGTTCTGTTCCCAGATTTGGGAAAGAGTGGTGATTTAGCTCCAATAAGTGAATCACTGTTTGCTTGGCATCCCTTGGGAATGGTCCTAATAGCCTTCCCGGAAAATAAAATCCTTTTGAAAATACACAGAAGATGGAATTAATCTTATAAATAACTAAATGTATATGTGACCTAGAGAAAAAGGTTTCTTTGGAAAATGATCTCAGCTGTCCCGTGTGCATCTGACTGATGTTTCCACTAGCTGGGAACAGTGAGCAAATGGAGAGAAGGGGTCCAGGTCAAAGGGTGCATATGCTGTGAGAAATGCTTTTTTCTTAGCTTTTTGACCTGTTCTTACCCTGGAGATGCTGATGTTTCAAACATGATGGACAGACTGTTAATCCTTTTTCAATGCTATGGAAATCCCAGGTCCAGCAGGGTGTTACTAAAAAATACAGCTATGACTGAAGTTTTTCCAGCATGTAGTAAAAACAATGATTTCCACAAACTCCGCTTCCTTGGGATTAGTAATGGTCTGAGGATAATAATCCTTCCACATCCCAACTGGTCATCCCTACATCAGGGAAGTGTTTGTGCTGTGTTTGGTACAGCTGCTTTAACTGCCAACGTTTTCAGCTTGGAAAAGCATCCTCTAAAAAGGAAATTACCATCTCAGGGGAGCTGGACAGTAGTCACTGAAGTGTCACAGTGGATTAACAGGAAAAAAGCTATGGCAGTTTGACTCTGCGCAGCACAGGTGGCTGTGAGCGAGGTGATTTTGAACTTCAGGGTGCCCGTGCATCCCAACACCTTCTTGCTTCTCCCATGAGAAATGCCATTGCCTGGGCTGCTGGCTGCATTCCTTTGGGATGCCTTGCACCACCAGGATGCCCTTTTCCCCTGTCACAGCACCAGGAACCCTTCACCTCCCCACCATCACCCTGCTGTGGGTCTTCCTCCCTCCCCGAGCTGCAGGGCTGGGAATGCTTACGTGCTCTCCCCTCCCTGCCTCATCTTGGTTTTGGGTACCTGGGAAGAAGCTGGGAAACAGAACTCGGTGGCAGATGTGGGGATCACAGTAGTTTTGAGGGAGGCTGCCCCAAAACAGGTTCACCTGAGGTGACAACAGGGCAGAGATTTGGATGTTTAAAACAGGCAGCCTTGCCATAGTTAACTGAGTTTCCAAAGCACTCAGCTCTAATTTTTCAAGCATTTCAGTCACTAAAGCATCTCAGAAGGGGGAGCTTTGCCACTTGAACCCAATATCTGTCTCGCTGAGAAATGAGTAGCATTAAGTCTGGACAGCAGATGGCAAACTGTTCCACACAGCTGAGGAAGAGAGAGGGAATGATAGTGACACTTCTGACATGCTGTGAAAGAAACATGCATGTATATTCATCTCAGATATGGATGCACACTACAGTGGAGATGATTAAATAGCGGACTTCATTTCTGGAAGTAGGTGTCTGTCTAAGAGGTGTCTGCCCATGGAATTAAAATTTCCAAGACTTCCACCTCTCTTT